CTTGCCAGAGGGAGTAGAGGACTTCGTAGTCTATTGTGATGCTTCGATCACAGGTATGGGAGCAGTATTGATGCAGCGAGGCCATGTGGTAGCTTATGCCTCGAGACAGTTGAAGCCTCACGAGGCTAATTATCCTACCCACGACTTGGAGCTGGGGGCAGTTGTATTTGCCCTCAAGATTTGGAGACATTACCTTTATGGGGTCCGCTGTACTATATACACGGATCACAAGAGTTTGCGATATCTTATGGATCAGCCGAGTTTGAACATGAGGCAGAGGAGATGGTTGGACGTGCTGAAGGACTATGACTGTGAGATCCTTTATCATCCAGGGAAGGCCAATGTGGTGGCCGACGCCCTGAGCCGCAAGGTGTCGACGGCCCCTATCAGAGATCTGTGTATGAGGATGACAGTGATCACTCCGTTGTTGGATCGGATCAAGGAGGAGAGGCAGAAGTGTGAGAGGATAGTGGGCCGAGTAGCTTCATTTGATTACGACAGTCGGGGTTTGTTGACGGTTCAAGGTAGGGTGTGGGTACCGTACTGGGGTGGGGTACGGCAAGTATTGATGGACGAGGCTCATAAGTCTCGATTTTCTATCCACCCAGGAGCGACGAAGATGTATCGAGATCTTCGACCTGATTATTGGTGGCCCTGCATGAAGCGGGACGTCGCTTGGTATGTTGAGAGATGTTTGACCTGCCGGAAGGTCAAGGCGGAGCACCAGAGACCTCACGGCAAGATGCAGCCGTTAGACATTCCCGTGTGGAAATGGGAGGATATCACCATGGATTTTGTCACCAAACTCCCCAGGACCGCACGTGGAGTGGACTCGATATGGGTAGTAGTGGATCGGTTGACGAAGAGTGCTCATTTTATTCCGATTCAGGAGAGTATATCGGCGGAAAAGTTAGCCGATATCTATGTGCGGGAGATTGTGGCACGTCATGGAGTGCCGGTATGGTGGTGTCGGACCGAGATGTTCGTTTCACGTCCAGATTCTGGAAGCGTTCCACGACGAGATGGGTACTCGTCTCCATTTCAGCACCGCTTTCCACCCTCAGACTGACGGGCAGAGCGAGAGGACGATTCAGACTCTTGAGGACATGCTTAGGGCATGTGTTCTAGATTTTGGGGGCAGTTGGGATACGTATCTTCCGTTAGCGGAATTCTCGTATAACAACAGTTATCATGCGAGCATTGATCGACCTCCTTTTGAGATGTTATATGGCAGGAAGTGCAGGACCCCGATTTGTTGGGCGAGGTCGGTCAGCGAGTCATAGGGAGCACCGAAGTGGTGCTCAAGACGACTGAGTTGATCCAGCAGGTCCGTAGTAGGCTGCAGACTGCGCAGAGTCGGCAGAAGAGCTACGCCGACAGGAGGCGTTCGGACTTGGAGTTCCAGGTGGGAGATATGGTTCTTCTGAAAGTCTCACCTTGGAAAGGTGTCATCAGGTTCCGGAAGAGGGGCAAATTGGGCCCCAGATTTATTGGTCCTTTCAGGGTTTGGCCCGGGTGGGTCGGGTTGCTTATCGATTGGATCTTCCCGAGGAGCTTAGTCAGATACACAACACCTTCCACGTGTCGCAGTTAAGGAAGTGTTTGGTGGATGAGACAGCAGTCGTTCCCTTAGAGGACATTCAGGTTGATAGCGGCCTGAATTATATGAGAGCCGGTCGCGATTCTGGAACGGAAGATCAAGACCTTGAGGAACAAGGTAATTCAGCTAGTAAAGGTGCAGTGGCAGCACCGGAAGGGGTCTGAATGGACGTGGGAGGCTGAGGAGGAGATGAGAGCGCACTACCCGGAGATATTTGCAGATCCAGCCGAAGCAGACTTCGAGGACGAAGTCTGAGACAAGTGGGGGAGAATTGTAACGACCCGTTCCCGGTATGTTAATTCATTGTAATTGTTGTAAGTTTTGCAAGAGGGACTCGGCGAGTTCATAGCCTGACTCGCCGAGTAGGGTCGCGACTTCGAGCACGCGTGAGCCGGGGACTCGGCGAGTCCATATCCCTGACTCGGCGAGTCCATCCGTCTGGGTGAAACCCTAAATCCCCGGGTTGCCCACTATTTAAGTCACCTTATAGCCCCATTCTCGCCTCCCTCACCCTGAGAACACTGTGAGAAAGAACCCTAATCCACCCTGTGTGAGCTAAGTGTTTTGTGCCATTTTGTGAAGGTTTGAAGAAGGAGAAGAAGAAAGGAGCAAGGAGAAGAGTTGTAGTGCAAAGATCCAAGGGCAAATCTGAGTTATTTGAGGTATTTTCGGATTTCCCCTCTTGTTATATGCTTTAAACCTCCATTAGAGCTCTCCTAGGATCTAGTTGATGCTTGTTCCAAGCCTTATGTTTGCATGAATGCCTTAATAAGTCGAGATATCTTTAGATCTGAATGATTGGGTGTTGTAGAGCCCAGATCTACTGCCTTTTTGGAGTTACTTTGCATATTAACCATAGATCTACCCATTTTATGCATCTTTTAGCCTTATTTCCCTTATTCATGAGGTTGTACACGTAAAGTTGGAAACTTTACGTGGTAAATCAGCTTATTGGACTCAGATCTATCAATTGTATGTGTTGGATTCAAACAAAATCGAGTAAAAATCAGTTGCATGGCGGCAACTCGGCGAGTCGGGAAGAACGACTCGGCGAGTTGGGTCGCGAGTTCCCGATTCCTTCATTTTTATCAGTGTCGAGTGGATCCAGTGAGTTAGAGAGTGGACTCAGCGAGTTGAGAGTAGACTCAGTGATGGAGGGACTCGGCGAGTTGTTCATACAACTCGGCGAGTCCAAGGCAATCTTCTTAAGATCAAGAACAACTCGTCGAGTTTGTTCATACGGCTCGGCGAGTCGGATGAAGATTGTCTGAGTTCTTGGATCAAGTGGGTACTCGTCGAGTCGATGCCACACTCGACGAGTAGCAGCATGTAGAACTGAGAAGTGAGAGTAGGACTCGGCGAGTTGGGCGGCCCAACTCGGCGAGTCAGCCCAAAAGAGAGTTGACTTTGACCAAGGGTAAAAGAGTCATTTTACCCCAAGCGCAGTGTTTAGTATTTGATTGAGTGTGTTTATGGACTTGTAGCCGAGGAGATTCAGGAGCAACAGCCGTTAGCTTCCCGAGCCACACACTCAGCAGCCAGCTTACGAGGTGAGTTTCCTTCCAGTAGGAACGGGTCTAAGGCCACAATGCCGGCCCGTTCAGTTAGCAGTAGTTTCCGGATTTAGGTCCGATGCAGTAGCTAGTACGTTTGATGCCTTCGTGGCTCGAACAGGATTTGTGTGCTATGTTTTATGCGTTAAGTATTATGTGTTCCGGGCTACGGCCCGATGTAGTATGCCGTATATGTGTTCATGCTAGTTGATGTGTTATGCTATGCCATGTTCAGTCAGTCAGTTCCGGACTTCGGTCCGATGCAGGGGACAAGGTCCCAGTCGGTTCCGGACTTCGGTCCGATGCAGTTAGTTCCGGACTTCGGTCCGATGCAGGGGACAAGGTCCCAGTCAGTTCCGGACTTCGGTCCGATGCAGTTAGTTCCGGACTTCGGTCCGATGCAGGGGACAAGGTCCCAGTCAGTTCCGGACTTCGGTCCGATGCAGTTTCCAGGCTTCGGCCCGATGCAGTGGGCGAGGCCCAATATGTGTTTATATGTTATTGTATGGTATGTGGTAGTTTGGGGGAGCTCACTAAGCTTCGTGCTTACAGTTTCAGTTTTGGTTTCAGGTACTTCCGCAAGCAAAGGGAAGAGCTCGGGGTGATAGCATCGCACACACCACAGCTTAGCTTTTATCCTGGGGATGGTTTTAGTTGTTTTGGATTTGATATAGTATGATACAGTTTTCCGCACAGTATTTTATTATGATTTGGGATAAATCGCGTATGTTTTTTTTATGTTATGATACTCATATTATGGTTTTGATTATATTGAAAAAACGAAATTTTTGGGTCGTTTCACACATGGATCATGGAATATGAAAATCCATGCCAATTAGGGTTTACATGTTGTAACCCTACTTGTGACACAACTATAAAAGGACCCCATGGCTAGAAAAATCTGGATTATGTGTGTAGAACAAGAGGGCTAGCTGATTTTGAGTGATAATGTACTTCTCTCAAAGTTATTCCAAGATTTGTGGTGTTGTGTGAAACATTTGAGGCATCACATTTGAGGTGCTAGGCTCACAAGGTTCTCAAGGAATCCAAGCAACAAAAAAGGTAAGTTCTTCTACTAGCTTTTATGTTTCAAAGTTCCCCATGTCATGCTAGTTAGGTTAAGAACCTTGGAAAATAAAATTTGCATGTATCTTAGTAAAACATAGATCCAAGGTTTCTAGGGTTGCATGTACACCTTAGGAGTGTTAGAATGCTAAAAAACCCTTCAGATGCTACACTGGGCAGTAGGGATGAGTTTTGGAACCGAAAAACCGGAACCGGAACCAGAACCGGTATAACCGGAAAATGCTTAAACCGTCCGGGTATTGGGTTTCAAAATTACTCTTATCCGGGTTCCGGGTATTTCGGGTATGGGTCTAACGGGTCCGGTTATTCCGGGTTTTTTAACCGGATTTGTTAAAAAAACCGGAACCGGGTTAAATGGACCGGGTCCGGGTTTAGTGGGCCAAAGAACCAATTAAGATGTAGACCCGGTATAGATTTGGAACCGGAATGTGATTAGTTTTTTCCCCCGTGCCCTCCAAGTTCGTAAACGTCGGAAGCAAATAAAAAAAAAGTCATCAAGTTCACGATTTATCGCTCACAGAAGATCGTTAGCTAAAGTCATCGATTTTCATCAAGTTCTTCAATCGATTTTCATCCAGTTCTTCAATCGATTTTCATCCAGTTCTTCAGTTCTTCAATCGATTGTTTATCGCCCAAGCCTCAGTCAAAAAAGCCGATACTATTCATCAGTTCATCATTCAAGTCGACAATCATCAAATCAATTTCCTACAATCATTCCTAATTGAACTTCAAATCAATCTCCTACAATCAATTAAAGGCCAATGGTGGACAATTGGGTAGATAACAATGAAGCTACACAAGTAAGTTGTCAAATTACAATGCATACTGGATTTGAGATCATAATCTTGATAACTTTATATATTTTTGAAGACCTAGATCAAAGTATCTCATCAGATATGATATGTTGTTTGAAATTGAATGGGTTATTGACGTTATTAAGTTTAAAAACTGATTACAAAGCAGTAAATTACTTTTCTAAGATAATGATAGTGACTTTATATGGTTTTTGGTGCGTGAATCAAAGTCAGAGACTGCATAATAGACTTTGAATTGGTCGAGATTGAACCCCATTCAATTCTTATTCGATATAACCTTTTTTTTAAGGCTAAGTAATTATAATAATGATAAAATAATAAAATAGTGAATTACAAAAAAAGAATGAAGGAATTTAGTCAAAGACAGAATGCATCACGAATCACCATGGATGGATCACTCTTACTTTTTGTGTTATTGTTATTAAGTTGTGTTATTGTATTTTAATTGTGTTTTTATTGTTATTTATTGTAGTTTGATGATGACGAGGTGTTTGTTGACAACACTCAACAAGAAATCAATGAGGAACCAACACAAAAGAGAAAAAGAGTAGGCAAAACAAGGTCCGATTGTTGGAAATCATTTGAGAAGATTTTTATTGATGGAGTTCGGCATGGAAAGTGCAAATGGTGCGAGAGGGCTCTCAAAGCCGACGGGAATAATACCGGTACGTCTAGCTTAAATAAGCATGCAAAGAATTGTAAAAAAAACCCCGAGAATTTGAAAAACCAACAAACATTACAATTTAAAAAAGAACCAACCGGGGAGGGTAGTGTTAGCACTTGGAAACATGACGACAAACGAATTAAAAAGGCTATGTTGAATTTATTTGTAGTGGGTGGTCTACCTTTTAAATTTGTAGAAAATGAGGCCTTTATTGAATACACAAACGCACTAAACGGGAAGGTGATTGTACCTTGTCGAACAACAATTTCAAAAAAAGTGTCACTTTATTATCAAGAAGAAAGAAATAAGTTGGTAACATTCTTATGTAATCCACTTAACACGATTCATTTGACCACCGATTGTTGGACAAGTCCGAGTAAAAGGGTGCATTATATTGTCATTACCGCACACTTTATTGATGATAATTGGGAGATGCACAAAAGGATAATCAACTTTAAAGAATTAGATAGTCAACGGGGGGAAGATATCGGAAAAGAAGTGTTGAAATGTATTCAAGGGTGGGGTATTAAAAATGTCATGACTTGTACGGTTGATAATGCAAGTTCTAATGACAAAGCAATAGAGTTTCTAAAAAACAAATTACCAAACTTGTACAATGAAGGAAAACACTTTCACATTAGGTGTATGGCACACATTATCAATCTAATTGTGAGAGACGGGATGAATAAAAATGACGAGAGTGTTAAATGTTTGCAAGACGCCGTAAGATATATTAGAAAGTCCACACAACGGATTGCTCTATTTAAAAAGTGCATGAAAGCCGTCGGGGTGGAATCAACCAAATTTTTGTGCAACGATTGTCCCACTCGTTGGAACTCAACTTACGACTTATTGAAGATCGCGGTGGATTTAGAAAAAGCTTTCTATGAGTATGAAATGGAAGGTAATTTTTTTTTTCTGCATTCTTGCTGAATTTTTAGCTCTATTTAAATTGTCATATCTACTTCGTTATGAGTCCGTTTGGGCTGATTTTTTTTTTAAATTATAGTTCATTGTTTGGCAATAGTTATAGACTTTGGAAACACCTAATTTTCATGTGTTTTGAGTAAGTTACAGCCCTCCAAAAATGATATATCAAAGCTGTTTTGAATATGTTAACAGCATTATTTTAGAATTTTTCGTTAACTTTAAGCTGTCATATCTACTTCGTTATGAGTCCGTTTGGGCTGATTTTTTTTTAAATTATAGTTCATTGTTTGGCAATAGTTATAGACTTTGGAAACACCTAATTTGCATGTGTTTTGAGTAAGTTACAGCCCTCCAAAAATGATATATCAAAGCTGTTTTGAATATGTTAACAGCATTATTTTAGAATTTTTCGTTAACTTTAAGCTGTCATATCTACTTCGTTATGAGTCCGTTTGGGCTGATTTTTTTTTTAAATTATAGTTCATTGTTTGGCAATAGTTATAGACTTTGGAAACACCTAATTTGCATGTGTTTTGAGTAAGTTACAGCCCTCCAAAAATAATATATCAAAGCTGTTTTGAATATGTTAACAGCATTATTTTAGAATTTTTCGTTAACTTTAAGCTGTCATATCTACTTCGTTATGAGTCCGTTTGGGCTGATTTTTTTTTTAAATTATAGTTCATTGTTTGGCAATAGTTATAGACTTTGGAAACACCTAATTTGCATGTGTTTTGAGTAAGTTACAACCCTCCAAAATGATATATTAATTTTTCTTTTGTAACATTTTTTTGATAGATCGTTCCTTTGCACGAGATGTGGTAACCCCCGTGAGTGAAGATTTTGTAACTTGTCGAGCAATGGTCTCCTTTCTTGAGAAGTTCAAGTTGAAAACAGAATTGGTGTCGACGACTTCAAAACCATTGGCAAATCGGTTTTTTGGAGAAGTATGTGGCATTTACAAACATATACGGGTTTGGTCAAAAAACAAACGATTTTATTCAATTGGGAAGGATATGATAGACAAATATGAGAAGTATTGGGGAGATTTTGAAAATTTGAATGACTACATGTAGTTTGCGACTATCTTGGATCCGCGAATGAAGACAGAATTTCTTAGACATGCTTTTGAAACATTGATCAAGTACAAGATGCCGGAAAATAAACCCCTTTCCGAATTAGATATTACTGCGAAGACTAAGTCTTTAATCAAGGATATTGAATCGAGATTTGAGAACTTTTTTAATTGTTACAATACCAACTCTAATGTACCATTTGAAACCGGTGGTAGTCAAGATGCTGTGCATATTGATGATGATGACGACTTTGTGGGTGACTATTTTGCTCAATCGGTGAATTCATCGGCTTCAAAGGAAACGGAATTAACACGATACTTGAACGAAGGACAAACCCAAGGCGTTAAGGACTTTGATATATTGGTTTGGTGGAAAAATAACGCATCTCGTTACCCAATTCTCTCGCGGATGGCAAAAGGTATAATTTTAATTACTTATATTTTTTTATTATAATGTAGTATAATTTAACATTATATGTTTATGTTATTAGATCTTTTGGGCATTCAAATATCTACCGTGGCTTCCGAGTCCGCTTTTAGTACAAGCGGTCGCATAATTGATAGTTACCGAGCAAACTTGTCCGCACCTATAATAGAGGCTTTGGTTTGCACCCAAGATTGGGTGAGGAAATCAAAGAAGCCAATTGTTGACAGCATCGATGATATTCTTAAAGATGATGACATAGCTAAAGGTAGCAAACAAATTCATTTTATTATCTAATAACAAAACATTGGTTATATGCTAACTTTCATATTAATTTTTTTTATGATATGTATTAGAGTTGGAAGACGCCATACGCACCCAAAATGGAAATGGAAAAAGGCCGATAGATATTAACGAGTAGTTATACTATTTTTGTTTTTTTTTGTCGATAAATGATTATTGGTTTGTAAGTGTTTGTTTTGGTTGATTAATGTTTTTGAACTTGAATCAAATTTACTTGTTTGGTACTGTGCAATTGTGCATGTGGGTGTAAACAAGTATAAATTAATGATATTTTAATCAATGCATGCACATCCACATTCCACTTTATTATTTTTTTATTACTTTTATTTTAATCAATGACTTTCGTCATTTTTAATAATCATTTTAATGAATGTTTCTTTTTATCCATGTTGTGGTAAAATAACAATGAAAAGAACATAACACAAGCGAAGAAGGGGACAATGGTTGGGTCCAAGACCAAGTTCATGGTACCTATTGAACAATTAAAAATCAAAGTCTAATATTCAAAACAATTCAAATCAAATTCTTAAACAATTAAGAACAAAACAACATTTATTCCTTGACCATCTTGACGAGTTAACGCATCTTCAATCTCTATACATAAAACAAAAATAAACATATTTAGTATTAAAAAAAATGTTACCAAATAAATTAAAAGCACAAAACTTATTACCTAGCTATATTATTTGGATTTTTGGCACACGTACGACAATGTTTATTAAGACTACTTGTACCGTGTCTTGATGGATCGGCTTTAAGTGTAGCGAAACAATACTTACACCTTGCTTGCCTTCGTTCAACCCCATCATTTTCTACTACCCACAACATATCAAAATGTTGCCAACATGTGGACCTCTCCTTCAAATGTTAAACAAATTAAGTAAAAAAAATCTAGGTAGATTTAAAGCATGTAAAAAATGAAGTATCAAAGTTATAAAACTAATAGATTAAAAACGGAACCTAATTGAAGTATAAAGACGTAAATTAGTCAATTACTTTAAATGCATATTTGTATAAAATTAAAAAGAAACATACTTGAATTGGGAGGTTAGCTTCCATGAATGTTCTTGAAAAGAAAAAACAACTCAAAACCTTCAACTTAGAGAATAATAAGTTAAATGAAAATGTAGAGGTGGAAGGGCCTATTTATAATGAGAAGTTGTGAGATGTTGACAAAACATGAAAATTAAAAGATTGCTAATGTCAAAAAAATTGTCTAATGCTTTTATGTTCAAATTTTCAAAGTTGAAGCCTTCAAGGTCAAAGATGCAAAAAAACAAGTTAGTATGGTTGCAAATAAATAAATAACTAACAATTTAGAATTTCAACATATCTTAAATTAAAACACACAATCCAAAATAAATTATCCAATAGTCAAAGATATAATTTCTTAAAAAAAAAAAAAAAAGATCAACGTACAGTGATAAAAAAAAATGGGTCAGCTACTCAACTTATCAAATAAGGCAGTAAGGCTGCATCAATAAACCACTGACATTAGGTACTATGAAAATTAAATTATACATAATCATATTATACGATTTGGCTATATGGTACAATTAAATTATACATAATCATATTATACGATTTGTCGTCAATAATATTATACTATCTTGAGATTGTTTAATAAGGCACGTAGGTAAGTTACCTAAGGTAACTATGATATGATCTAAATGTCAATTTTTTTTAAACCAATATTGTTATATCTATTTATTTATTTATTTTTAAATAAATCAATGTCGTCAATAACCTAATAATTTAAATGTAATTTTTTGTTTGTTCATTTTTTTATAACGGTTGAAAGATTATGGGTAATAAAAAAAAATACGGGTTTTCCGGTTCTAAACCCATTTGACCCGGTTCTACTTTACCCACTTTCCTATTTCCAGGTTTTTCGGTTCTAGACCCACTTTACCCGGAACCGAACCGGACCCGGTTCCTATATACCGGTCCGGTTTCCGGTTCTTAAAAATATCGTTAAACGGTTCCGGGTTTTCCGGGTCCGGGTCCATCGGGTCTGGGTTTGGACCCACTTTCATCCCTACTGGGCAGTTCCCAGGAAACGCTGAAACTCGTTATTATAGCTATCTTTGGATAAAGCTTAGTACCTAGTGTTACTATGCCCAAATTCTCGGCTACACAAAACATACACACACATACTATATATATGTATGTGTATATATATATATATATATATATATATATATATATATATATATATATATATATATATATAAAATAAATCCTTGATGTACACACGATACGGTCATCAACAATCTCTACTACCAAAGAGTGATCCAACGCCACCAGTGCGACATCACAATTCTTGTTGAACGCAAGGGATACAAATAATCGAATAGCCCCCGAATCAAACAGTACAATATAAGACATGTCATTGAATAAGAACATCCCTAATCATAACCATAACAATAATAAGCATATATATATATATATATATATATATATATATATATATATATATATATATATATATATATATATATATAAGGAAATTACCATAAAGTAAAGCAGAAAACACGTATCGATAACAGCATCTGGCGCTGCTTTAGCCTCCTCTACTGTCAGCTGGAAAGCTTGACTGCTCACCACTTAGACCTCCGCCTTGCCTTAATGGCCATCAATAATCCTCAAGGTGACCGGAACGGGTAGCCTCACCGCTCTACCAGACAAACTCAGATAATTGGCCTGCTTGTGACCAATCTGATTACAAGGAAAACATATCAATGCCCCCTGCTTGTAGTCCCCGCCAAAGTGTCCCGTCAGGCTGCACTTAAAACAACCTTACCCAGATGCTCAACAAGCTCCCTCATGTGATCTACCACACTTTCCACATCGACCTCGACCCTTCTGGCCCTCAGAACGTGTACTAGAAGTCTTAAACTTCTTGGCTAGAATAGCCAAACTCTAAACATGTGGTTGTTTCCCCTTCTTCTAAAGCTCTTGTGACATCCCCTATTTTTCAGAACCCGATTAAAACTTTTTCTTTACGCTTGAGATATTGATTTGCAGAAACTCCCAGTTAAATAGAATATTTAGAGATAACAAAAGTTATTTCATTATATTAAAATTATGAGGATGTCATCATTCATATAGAAATATACATTACATCGTAAATATATAAAAGGTCCTGAAATACTATAGCAGACACATCTCATTATTACAGTCGGTATCCTAACTAAGCTTCAGCAGTCTTACATTCACTACATGTGATGCACATAAAATGAGTGGTTCAGGTTTGGGAAACCTGGTGAGATGCATAGGGTTTTCAAGTCCATAATAATTTAATGATAAATATTCATAATATCATTCCTACCAAACCATCATTTACAGATAATATAGATATATAAAATCCGACATACATATTCTTAAGACATTATACCCAGCCCAAATGATTCTCACAAATCATAAGACAATGATTATCTGAGTATATGGTTGACTACACAGTCAAGGGAGTCCATGGCTAGTTTAAGTCATATAAAGGCAACCCTTATTCAAAGTTATTGATAAATATTTTATCTATGTTTGTGGTTTATAAGTCCAGACTAGCAACGTAATTAACTAGACCGCCTAGAATAGTCAAGTGTTGTCATCTACTATGGTCGATGACCCAGACATACTTCTCAGGTATCTGATCTGGACCCACCATTTTTGGCCATCCAAGAAAGAAGAGGATCGCTACACTATGCTCTGATCTCATACTCTACCCTCAGAATGAGACCTAACCAATATTCAATTTATTTAGAATTAAGTACCTTTTATAAGTTTGTATCTAACTCAAACTATATATAAAGGTCATTCTGATTTCTAATAAGCAATACTATTACAGTTATACAAGTAGCACAAAGTATAAGTAATACAATTAGCATTTTGTAATTACTTTTATTAAGTTATTCTCTTGAAAATAACTACGCACTCACCTGACAAAGGTAGGTGACTCGATGTTAAGGCAGTGCTTCGCCTAACACTACTCAAAAACCTAAATGTATAAAGCACTAAGTCTTAGTCTAGTTTCATAATCCTAGTGAATATTTAGTGATAGTATAGATTCCTCAATAATCCCAATGTCTACATCAAAATCTATCAAATAAGGAATAACAAGGTAGGATCATATCAAAGGTAGAGTCTGTTTAGTATATAGAGTATACTTTTTTGAAATCTCAATTTAAACAACTCACTAAATCCAACCTAGACATCACTCTCATAAGTAGATTAATTAGTATAATGACTTGGAATCACTGATAAATCTTAATTATAGGTCCACAATAACGACTATGACTATAACTAAAAGTTACACAAAAAATAAATAAGTGAAGCTTGACTTACAGAGTAATCTAACGAAAATCGGGAATTATACGGGCAAAACTCTGACCCAAGAGCTTTTATTCTCCGAATATATGACACTGCACGGTTTCGCTAAAGTAACCAGGAACTAGAGAGAAAAGGGAAAAAAGCTATGAGGTAAGAGAGAATTGGAGAAGTGGTGTGAAGAAAATGCAGGAAAATTTGTGTGTGTATATAGCTAAAAACCAAGTGCGCGCCACGCAATGTGTTCCCTTGGCGTCGCATATGTGGTTGGAGGTGATGACATGTCAATCAACCATTGGTGCCACGTGTCGCTTAGTGTGCGGTTTTTTAGTTGCGCGTCACGCCCCTGGTCAATGCGTGCGACTGCGCGCAAATTTTCCTGGTTTCTTAAAAAGTTCATATCTTTTCCATACGAGTTCCGTTTTCAACGGGTTTTATAACCATACGTAGCTATTTACGAGATCAACAACTTTTGTTTAGACTTCTTCGGTTAATTTTTATTTTATTTTTTAAATTATATATTTTACAGGCTTAGACTGTTAAAGTCCGTGTAAAAATCATAACTCTCTCATACGATATTCGTTCTCGACTGTCTTTATATCGACGGATAGGTATGGATGATATCTCCAACTCTCGTTTAGATTGTTTTTACTAACAATAGACCTGTTTCTATTTCGGTTTCTGTGTTGTACACTGCAGTACTGAATTGTGTGTAAAACTTCAACAAATCATAACTACCTCTAACGAACTCAGATTTGGATGTCCTCTATATACATGCTCTCGATTTAATGACTA